AAGCTCATGTTCCGAGTTCATAGATTGAAAGTGTTTTGAAATGCCTGTTTTTCTTTGCTTGGATTGCTCATGCTTGTGGTACGCAAAGCCCACACTATACTTGGGTAATTCGAAAATTTTTCATCGAATGAATGAATATCGAATAAATTCGAAAAGGAAAAATTTCGAATAAACGAATATCGAATAAATTCAAAAATAAAAAATCTCGAATAAACGAATATCGAATAAATTCGAGGTTCAAAAATTCTCGAGTGAATGAATTCCGAATAAATTCGGAAAATCAAAAATATCGAATGAATGAATATCGAATATATTCGAACATTGCAAGTCGAATTTCGAATAAATATTCGAATGATTTTTCGAATAACTAGAGCAACTATATCTCAAACATGCTGACATATCTGGCTGAAGCCGATCCATTCATAATCAGCACCCTCGTATCCCCTACACCAAATCCTAACTCAAAATTTTCCGAAAATTACTGAAATCGATAAAATAGATTCCAATTTTAATCAGCATCCTCATTTAGCCCCCCCCCCCCTGTACCAACTCCTAACCTCGTAGCCCAAGATTTTCCAAAAATCGACAAAATCGATAAAGTAAATTTTTATCCATAATCAGCACCCTCACTTACCCCTTGTACTAACTCCCAGCCCCGCAACAACGGTGGCCACATATGTACTTAAATGCCACAATGCTACGATACATTGCCTGTTCATTGGAGACTTTCGTCTTGTGTGGTATAAGCTAGTCGTGGACGAAGGCATGTGGTTTATTCCGCGAAGCGAGTACGATTGCCTCTAGCCCTGGGCATACTGCAGGCATTTCAGTGGCGACGTGGTTTGGCAATAGTCATGTCCAAAACTTATTCTAAAAGTACAGAATGCAGGGCATTTATCATTTTGGTAAGTTGCACACGCTAGATATTTGTGGTAAGCTGGCGTTACATTTGAAGACATCTCGTAACTGGCAAATCGCGTACGGCGATCTAAGCCGTCTAATCCTCCACTACAACTGCGATGTCCTTTACTCAAAATACACCAATTCGCAAAAAAAAAAAACTATAAGATAGCGAATAGAGGCAGTTGTGCAATATAACTTATGTGAGCAAGAGTGCTCGCTAGTGTGGGCTTTGCGTACCACAAGCATGAGCAATCCAAAGAAAAAAACAGACATTTCAAAACACTTTCAAAATATGAACTCGGAACATGAGCTTGAATTTGATAGCTTCTTTGCTGATTTGGTGCCAATAGCAGTGCGAACAATCTCATTGATCGAAAAAGCATCAATTAAAATCCACATATGTTTTTCACTGTCAAGCAGTCGGAAGAATGCGACCCTCCATACAGTTGAAAGGTCATAACTGTTGCAAAAGATGCATTACCGAGTTTTGCGAAGAAAAAAACGCGGACGAAGTGAGCTTGATACTCAGCAGTTGGCTCTGCGACAAAGTCGAATAATTTGAATACGGAGTTCATTCGAATACGAATTCGAATAAACATATGAATAAAACATTCGAATAAAATCTATTCGAAACCCCGTTTTTTGATTATTCGAGTTTTCGGATTATATTCGAATCCTCATTTTTAATTATTCGAGTTTTCGAATTTTAATCGAAACCGATTACTCGAGTTTCGAATTTTAATTCGAAACCCCGTCTACTCAATTATTCGAGTTTCGAATATTATTCAAAAATGGAAGAACTCCGAATATCGAATTTCGAATACGAATATATTCGAATTTTTTTTTCGAATGATCGAATTTCTATTCGATTCGGACCCAAGTATAGCCCACACTAGCGAGCACTCTTGCTCGCATAAGTTATATTGCACAACTGCCTCTATTCGCTACCCTAGAGTTTTTGTGCGAGTTGGTGTATTTTGAGTAAAGGGCATCGCAGTTGTAGTGGAGGATTAGACGGTTTAGACTGCCGTACGCGATTTGCCAGTTACGAGATGTCAATTGTAACGCCAGCCTACCACAAATGTTCAGCGTGTACAACTTACTAAAAAGGTAAATGCCCTGCATTCTGTACTTTTAGAATAAGTTTGGACATGACTATTGCCAAACCACGTCACCACTGAAATGCCTTCAGTATGCCCAGGGCTAGAGGCAATCGTACTCGCTTCGCGGAATAAACCACATGCCTTCGTCCACGACTAGCTTACACCCCACAAGACGAAAGTCTCCGATGAACAGGCATTGTATCGTAGCATTTGTGACATACATATGTGGCCACCGTTGTTGCGGGGCTGGGAATTGGTACAACGGGGTAAGTGAGGGTGCTGATTATGGATAAAAATTTACTTTATCGATTTTGTCGATTTTTGGAAAATCTTGAGCTACGAGGTTGGGGTTGGTACAGGGAGGGGGGGGGGGGGTGAATGAGGATGCTGGTTGAAACCGGATTCTATTTTATCGATTTCAGCGTTTTCGGAAAATTTTGAGCTAGGAGTTGGTATAGGGGATACGAGGGTGCCAGTGGCGGTCCGAGGGGGGGGGGGGCGCCGAGAATGGGTCGCGAAATTTTTGAAAGTTACTTATATGGGTTATAAAAATGTGCAAGTGACTTGTTTTTACTCGTAAATAATTAAAATAATTTTTGAAAATTTTTAAAAATTCAAATTAGCCTTGTAAAAAATTTTTTCGGGGTCGTGGCTGACACCAGCCCCCTTTTTCTTGATTTTGGGGGGTATGGGGCTGCAAAAAATTTGAGAAGCACCCAAAAATTTTTTCGGAGTGCGTGGCTAACGCCACGCACCTTCATTCAAAAATTTTTTTTAGCGCGCCCCTCCCATTCCGAAATCCTGCGACCGCCACAGGAGGGTGCTGATTATGAATGGATCGGCTTCAGCCAGATATGTCAGCAAGTTTGAGGTATGGTTGCTCTAGTTATTCGATAAATCATATATATTCGAAATTCGGCTTCCAATGCTCGAATATATTCGATATTCATTCATTCGATATTTTTGATTTTCCGAATTAATTCGGAATTCATTCATTCGAGAATTTGTTGAACCTCGAATTTATTCGGTTTTCGTTTATTCGAGATTTCTCCTTTTCGAATTTATTCGATATTCATTCATTTGATGAAAAGTTTTCGAATTACCCAAGTATACTGGTAAAGTTCTCACACATGAGATAGAAGCTTAATTTCACCATTATCGAAAAGTACGTGAAGAAGGCTTTCCAATGATATGCAGAATCTACACTGAAAAATAAATTCTAAAGGAAAAAAGTTGTTTTGAAAGTAGGCCTAGAAAAAGGACATTACGTTTGAACCAACCTATAAGTCAAAGAGAAACACCAGCTAGGTCGTCCAAAGTTCTTTCCTTTTTTTTCAACTTATCGTAAAAACTCGTGGAATGAAGGCAGGCAAACGACTCAAATAATATCCGACCCAGCTTTTCCCCTTTTTGGCAGTCATGTTTTTGTGCCGGTTACTCTTGTGGTTGGTGCAATAATCGCCGAAATTTTAAATTCATGGTTTTTACCATTCCCATCTTGGGCAATACAAAGAGAAAGAAAAGCTGCGTCGATAGTTTTGAATCGTTTGCCTTTCTTTCCATAGTATTTGTGATAGGTTGAAAAAACCGATAGACCTTTCGGAGTGACCTAACATGTCCCTATACACTGAAGACTTAGCTGTAAGAAAGCCTCTTAAAGTGACCACAGTCACCATGCAGTTCATATTTGTGCATCGGCAACGCAATTTATTAGCTGAGGTCACTTCACTTTTTATCTTCTTGCATATCTTGCGTCGCCAGAATAATGGGAGCTAGGTTGTGTGAGTAGGGGTCTCTAAATTTGTTCACAAAGGATTGTAGCGCAAGGCGAATGATGAAGGGAGTGGAAACTCGATTGGAAACTTGTATTTTCAAAGCCTCATTGAACGGAAAAACCAGAGTGCAAAAAGAGTTTGTAAGCACATTCGAAAATAGAGCTGCAACGCGAGATTTTGCGCTCAAGACATGTTCACTCACTTCTTTGAGTTTGTAGGGTTTGAGTCGTTTGAAATCCTGCTCGATGCATTATATACTCACTCCCCATTTTACAATGTGAGATATGGATCTGCTGGAAGTTATCCCATATTTTAGCAGTTTTATATTTGCTAGATTTTCGTGTTTTTTGCCCTTTTCGTACAGTGAACTACCACAAACCAGGTTTTTCTTGTTTAAAAAATAAAATGAAAAGAAAAGCTTTCATTGTCTGTAAAATTTCGCTGTCTCGCAAATTTCTCAGCTTTGTCCTGTAATCAAGGGTATGTCACTTTGTGTAGTAGAAAACAGTACAACAGTTTATTTTCTGAACGTTCAGTCGCGATACATGAAGACTTTCCTGAAAACCTCAATAATTACAACCTACAAGAGATAAAGGGTCTAACAAGGGAATGGTCAGAAATCGAAGTGGCCAATCCATACAAGCTGCATACCATTCGATATAACATAGAATGCTGATTTCAAATCTGTCTTCCATATTTGCAGAGCGCCTTTGTAGGCGAAGTTATGAGCAGCTTTATTGCGAAAAAATCGTATACAAAAATTGCGAAATCAGATACATTATTGCTTTTTCAGCTCAACTCTAGGTACGGATCATATGAAGTGACCCAGTTGCATGTTTTGGTCCAGCACTGAGCCGAGGATAGTTTTGTACGACTGAGTTTGCACTTTAAACGAACAATTTCTTAGCAATATATTGAAATTCAACGGCTTATCATTTCGTACACAAAAGCGCTCTGCAGATAGGGAAGACAGATTTAGAGTCAGCGTTTTATGCTGCATCTAATGATATGCAGCTTGTATGGATTGGCCACTTCGACTTCTGACCATTCCCTTGTAAGTAGCAATGGAAAACTACGTTTACGAACTGAAATTCGCACTCACTTCAGTACGCTCGTTCGGAAAGCGTGAGCCGGAGCGCCTCTTAATGCTTGTGTAGCTTTCCTTTCTTCTATAAAAGGTAATTTTAGTACTTTTCCGCTTGACCTTACTCGCTTCGACTCATCTCTCCAAATCTTCTACTTTCAATATCCTAGGTACGGAGTTGGCATTAATAGATTTGAGTGTCAGTAATTGCTATACGCAAAAAATTAGCTATTTAGAAAAGTTTGTTTTCAAGATGCTTGATCTAAGTCATTCCAAAAATTGTCCAAAATATGGTTTTTTATCTATTAGTATTTACTTAGAAAGCTTACAGTTAATTTCACTTAAAACACTGTGTTGTTGGATCTAAGCTCTAAGACAGATTTATAGGACACGTATCGCACTTAGCTATCTATGTAGATGCTAATTCTCTACTTGTGAAATTTTTAGGGGAAGCATTTGGAAACTGTTGTACTGATTCCTTTAAAGCTTTGGTCTACGTTATAAGCCTCAACTTGTAATATAAAAGCGTGCTTCAAAAGAACTTTAATTTCATTTCTTGTCGGATAGCAGACAGGTAAACCTTGCAAAATCATACGAAATTATTTCTAAAGTTAAGCGCATAGGCTTTGTTTGAAACGGGTCTATGTCATGAAAATGTGTCTTGATAACTCATTTATTTATAGTGATATTTGCGACTACCTGTGGTGTCTTCTTATGGCCCGGCTTTTTTACGCCCGTGCCCTTTTTTCCTGGCTTTCCACTTGATTTTCCTGGATTTTTTCCATTCTTTCCATTCTTGTTGTTCTTTCCGTTTTTTCCAGGCCTTTTGCCTTTTCCATTTGGTTTTTTTCCCTTCTTCTTGTTTTGCTTTTTCTTCAATGACTTTGGTCCCTTCGATTTGCCATTCGCAACCTTCTTTTGTGCAGGTGGGCGCGCCGGAGCACCTGGTCCCGCCGGAGAAGATGGTCCCGAGGCCGGAGCAGCTGGTTCCGCTGGTGCACCTCCTTCACCTCCTTCTCCTTCATTCTGAATAAGCGAAGTGAATTTATAAATTTTGATACAGAAAAGCTTCGGCATCTATGCACAATAGCCTGTGAATGGGGTTTCAAGCGTACAAGATTCATATTTAAAACCCACAATAATATTGGAAGAAATATGTACTAAAAATTTTTTATGAAGCGCATGTATCAGCGCATCATCTACGAAAAGTAAGAATTCAACGACATCGTGCTTCTTTTTATGCGCTTGAATTCGCAGCCGGTGAACTCTAAAATTGAAAAAGGGAGAAAAATTGGATTATGCAGTTTTCTCTAGTATAGCAGGATTACTTTTACTAGCCTGTAAAGCAATCTGTGTGCATTTCTGATGATTTGGTGCAATGCGCCATTGCTTGACCCGAAAATTGCTTCTATTTTTGATATATAGTTTGTTTTAAAAAATTGCCTATAATTTTGAAGAATTAGAGGTTGTTCAAAACTGTTCGAAGGCTTATAATAACTGTAGCTTTTTTACCCCAAAAAGGCACTTTACATGCGGCGACATAGGGAACTAATCAGAAAATGTTTCGAAAATTGCATTCTTTTCACCAGTAAAAATGCAGCGCAAGTGATCAACCGAAATGTGTACAAGGTATATGTAACCAGCGAACTTGATGAAAGATACGTCAGCAAGTGTTTGCTTGGCAAAAATGTAATTGAACTACTTCGCCTTTATCCAGAGCGTGCTACAGATACTTTGTGACTAGGCCGACTTTCATATTGATTGTAGAGGAGCATGATATTTTTGATGATGATGAGTGCAGTCAACTTCAAAATGAGTTGATCGAACTGCTGAAAAAAATTTTATGTTTGAAATAAAAGCTCAGAAGCATCTATCGCATTCTCATCTTTCTCATAGGAGTCGCTACTTCGCCCGCAATGCGAGCGAATTGTTTGCCCTTTCCTTTGCTGATTAGAACAAAGGCCGTACAGCGCAGAGTCCAAAAAAGAAATGTCTGAGAGTTGATGCTTACCTCGGGACGGGTTTCTGGAAGGCTGGGGCTCTTTTTGTCAGCATTGTCTTCCTAAAAAAGCTTGAAGATCTAAGTAACTTGTATGCATCCTTCTCCTTTCTTACCGAATGTTCTTCATGATCATCTTCTTCGTCGCTCTGCAAACAAGTTGCTTATTTGATAGGGCAGTACACATCAAAATCAATATAAAGTAAAATTTTTACACCTGCAAATTGATACTTGATCATTTTTCCTATGTGTTATTGCGAAAAGCTAATGTTGGGAAATCCTCAAATTTGGCGCCGTCCGGAAAGGAAACATCAACAAACTTTGACTTTTCTTTTGGGACTTACGGTTCGAACCATCAATAAAAATTTCATTACGCGCCCTCGCAACGATAGAAGGAAAGGATTCGTCAAGCTCAGTAAAGGATTACTGGGGCTCCGTTCAATGAAGCAGTGCTTTGAAACATTAACATGTAATCCTACTTCTCAAAGTAAGAATTTTCACTTTGCAAGAAAACTGTCTTTTCTTTCCGCTCACATTATATCATTCTTGCATGTGTCATGCATATTCGCCAAAGCTACGAATAAAATTCTTGGAGGTTCGTTTTCAAGCCCAAGCTTGAATTTGCGGTCGGAGAGGCTACTGAACTACTATCCTCTGTTTCATTGGGAGCAACGGGCAGAGGGCGGAACTTCTGTAGCTAATTAAGCCTGGGAAATAATTAGAGAGCACGCTCGCGAGAGAGATGCAGAGTTCAAAGTCTCACCCAGCAACCGCCATTCCTATTGATACAGAGTGTACTTCTCAGCGTTGAGGAAACTGTTACTCATTAGTAAGTGTGTTCTAACAAATGACCCACATGTTTACTATTTTTGCGAATAGAAAGAGAGTGAACATGAGCTTTTCGCTTTTATTTTCATAAGTCATCATTAATCGACAATCTTTGAGGTCTGTTTCTATCAAATTTGAAAAGACTTTGAACAGAAAGCGTTTGTTTGGTATAATCATTTTACAAAGAGAAACTAGTGTAGCTAGGGACTAGGTGCGCTTATCATCAATATCCGTCACATGTTTGCCATATTGCAAGACTATCCAAAAATTATGTTACATTTTTATAGCTTGGGTGAATTTGATAAAATCTTTATTGGCTACACTAGGGCCTTCGCTTCCATCAAATGGTCGAATTTATTTGATTTTCGAATCATTTTACATTATCAGCTAGATTAACACAATGTTTTCTTTAATAACACACACTGTTTTTGGCATTTGAAGAAACTTTCTTGAAATATCAAGTTAGTTCTTTTACTTCCAATGTGCTATGTTCGTTTGGCCAATCCTACAAAGAGTTCTATAGGAACTCACATTTTCTTCATCGTCTTCATCTTCGGAATCAATGCCCTTAAAAAAATTTGTTCAAGATTATACATGAGAAGCTAATAATATAAACAAAAGAATTTGTAAACCTTAAAAAATCCATCTTTTCGTAAATATTCCGAGAACTTTATAAACAACCAGAGTTGCAGAGTTCTTTTCCGATTTTGGCGTATACAACTTTGACAACAATTTTTTAAATAGTTCGCATTGTACCAACTCACGCTGCCGCTTTCTTCTTCTTCCGAGTCCTCTTCTTCTTCTTCTTCTTCTTCTTCTTCTTCTTCTTCTTCTTCTTCGGGGGATTCTTCGGCCTTGAACAAACAAAGCTTGTCAATGTTGTTAGCATAAAGTGTTAACAATATACAGGGTGTCCCAAAAGTAAGTACACACTTTTCAATCGCCAATATCTCTCTTCCCAATGGGTCTTTTTTCGCGATTCAAGTACCATTCTGTAGAGGAGGCTTTAACTTAGATTTTCTTTATCGAGCGAATCACCGATCGCTCTTCAGTACTGTGGGGTTACGGTAATAACTTCCAGCATGTGGAATCAATGACAAATATGCAATCTGACAAAATTTTTTTCAAAATATCTAATTGTGTACTAGGGTTTTCGCGCACGCTGATTCCACTACATAACTTTTTACGAGTGATTTCAGCTTTTTTGACGGTGCAATCACATTCCTGACAAATACTGGGAAGTCGTTTATTACGGTTTACCTGGGAGAACTCTAAAAAGAAACATCAAAGTAAAGTGGAAAATTCATATTCAAAATCAGCGGCTTCCACAACCATAGCACAAGGGTTTTTGGCTTGTTTGGTTTTGTTCCAAGTCAGCATATGGCTTCCAATGGCCTAAAATCTTTGTCGAAGTTCCTACAGTAATCCTACAGTAATGAAGAGCGATCGGTGATTCACTCGATACAGATAATCTAAGTTGAAGCCTCCTCTACAGAACGGTACTTGAATGGCGAAAAAAGACCCATTAGGAAGAGAGATATTGGCGATTGAAAAGTGTGTACTTACTTTTGGGACACCCTGTATTATGACCAGAGTTTTTCTATTTTCGGAACAGATTCTTTTTTGGTATAAAAAAGTTTCCGCAAAAATACACACGTTGCAGTGTTCTTTTATGATCCCAGTATACTTTATCAGACAAAAGTTTGGGTGTAATATGCTGCAAGTGCGAACTTATTGGGTGCATGAGCCAAAAGGATGTAATTTTTTGTTGAGTGGATTGTAAACTGCACCGAATTCCGCTCATCAAATTAGCTGATCAAAAACTTATTTTCAAACAAGACTGGCTTTGTGTCAAATTTGGGTGTTCATTATTTTCAGTCAAAGCAGATTGTTCCCTTTTTTCAGGCTGAGAACTCTGACTTTCAAACAAGAAAATTACAGCACCGTCAAGAATTTCGACCAGCAGTTCCTGCTTTTTCCTAATTTGATGAATCACTTATGCAAGGATTCAAGGCAGAATAAGTCAGTTCATCAAGCAGAATTTAGGAGTTTTATGGCATCACATCTTAAAGCTAAAACCCCACACCTGTCCAAGATGTTACGAAGTCAACAAGAAATTTCGGAATTCAATTGCAATCGTTTCGTAAGGAATTCTATAAAAAATCTCACTATAGAAAAAAAGCAACATCGAGAAGCTAGATATTCAAGTTCTGATCTTGACTTCAAAAAAACGCCCCAAAACTCTAAATCTAGAGTTTTGCCTCAAACGCATTATCGCTACAAATCGATTTCGAATTTTCCTAAATTCTTAGCTGAGCACCCGAGGCGCTAATTACTTTCTGATTTTTGCCTGGAGATACACCGAATAAAGGGTGGGGTGCTATACTCCTAATTCTGGTGAGCTCGCAATTATTTAAATTGTGGTCTCGCTTGCTGAGTTTTGTTTTGCATGAACACAATGTATCTCTATAAATTTCGCGAACACGCTCGTGCAGTACAGTGTCAAAAAAATAAAACTTATTGAAAATTGGCCCCACCTCTTCACCTACAGTCTGTTTATCACCGGGAAGCTCATCTTCCTGTAAATAAGTTGCTCATTAACTAGAGCAATGCGATACGAGTCATTCAACTTACCGGCACATTTGTCCCCTCGACCTCAGCATCAGGTTCAACCTTAAATGTTGAGAGCTCCTTAAATTAAGCGACGATATCACAAAGTTGACTTAGGCACTTAACCTAATAAGGTTTGACGACACTCATTCTACGTATTCGCATGTCATAATTAGCATATAGGATTGCAAGCTATAATTGGATTCTAGCTCAGATACTATTTGAGCAACTTATCATGACAAACAAAGTGATGAAAATCTCGTTAGCTATATCTAAAAAAGGTTTATTTGTTGCAGTAACTTCGCACAACGAAGTCGGAGGATACTTTGAGGTTGCAACTTACAAGTCTATTCAAGATAGATATAACGAACCGTATCTCCAAGCTCTAAAAAAATTTTTTTGATTGAAATGTGAAACTGTATAGGAAGAAAACGCACTGTTGCTGGGCCCGCCAACGCGAAGGGTGACGCTCCCGTAGCCGGTCACAGAGTTCGAGTTGACAACAACGCATAAAGTTGAGAATAGTAACTGAAAAGCATTTTCTTAAATAGACTATTAGTTTGGCACTGTCGATATTTGCTTTCAATCCATCAAATTTCTCAAAAACAAAAATCACAAAACCATCTCTTTTTATCAGTGATTCTAGCAAGCAAGAAGAAGTCAAACATAGTGGAAGATTCGAAATTACAAAAAAAGCTCGTCGAACAAAATTCATGTAAAGATTCCCGAGAAAAACTATCAGAGCTTCAGAATTTTGAAGAGTAGAGGAGGCGCTGTAGATTAGTGTTTTTTGGAACATAAGTCAAATATTGAGGGTCTAGAAGCTGTAGTCATTGTACGACAAAGTTGTTGAAATCTTCAAGAACTTTTTGATCACTAGATCGGAAAAAAACTTGTTCTGACATCGTTTCAGCATTAGGAAAAAGGCTGAATACAGCACTTTTTTTTCTGAAAAATGGGAATGAACTGGTTTAGATGTTGCGATGATTTTCTAGTAATTGGCTTAGAGATGTCATTCGAAGTTTACCGTGTAACCTCGTAAATTTCGCACCAAGAGAGATTTAGAAGAGCTGATCGAATCGTTAAAACTCACCACTCCAAGAAGAGAGAACCTCATCGTTGGAGATAAAATTGAATTGCTCTTCAGTGCCGCGGCTTTTTATACGTAAACATAAGTCATGTACATTAGCTGAACAGATATAGACTGTTGGTATACACTAGAAACACACGATTGTTATGATAAAATCACTGAACAAACAATTCTTTTAGTTACACGTTTGTTGTTTCGAGACATAATTAAGCAAATCAGTTGGATCAAATTTTTACTAGTTAGTACACGGGAATGTTCTTGCAAAAATATTGTTAGATTTCTTTGCTTAATTATTATGACCTTGATTTGTTTGGGGTCGTTGATACAACATAAAAACTTAATCATTTTATTTGCCAGTCTAATGAGAGTTAGTGCTAGAACCACTTACTGGTCACTGTGTTGATGCTACACCAAAGTCTAGGGCATAGTGTACAATTCAGAGCATTTCGTTAGCTTGTGGCAATTCAATATATTATCGTACAAAACTAACTTAGATGATATAAGTTAGATACCACGAAAGCGAAGTTCACTAACCTGTTGCGGAAATGGTACCGAACTACCTTACGAGCTAGGAGAGGCTCTGCATCTTACAATAGCAAATCATCTCGAATGCAGGGTGTATATACAGTGTTCCAAAAATTGTGCACACTGTCTGATTGTTAATAGCTTCTCTGATTTGATGTCTTTTGTCGAACTTTGGGTACCATTCTGTAGAGCGAGTTTTAGCTTAGTTTTGCAGCATGGAAAGAATCTCCGATCTTCCTTTGTTACTGTAGGATTACGATAACTTTCAGCAAATGAGACCATTGTTAAATATGCCGTCTGTCTTCTCAAAAGATATGAAAAATCGTATTCTAGGGTTTTCGCCCACGTTGATTCCACTATATGACTTTTTGTGCTTTTAGCTACTCTGAGGGTGTAATCACATTTCTGACAAATGCTGGGAATTCATTATTACGATTTACTTGGGATAACTTAGTTAAAGAAGCATCACATTAACTAGGAAACTCATACTCGAAATTAGAGGCTCCTATATCATAGTACAAAAGATTTTGACTTGTTCGGTTTTGTTCCGAGGCAGAATATGGTCTCCAATGGCCTAAAATCTTTGTCGAAGTACCTACTGTACCTACTGAGTACTACAGTAATCAAGAGCGATCGATGATTCGCTCCATACCGTAAATCCAATTATAAGTTGACCTCGCTTCAACAAATGGTACCAAAAGTTTGCTAACAGTCATCAAAACAAGGAAGTCATTGACGATCAAACAGTGTGCACATTTTTGGGACACCCTGTATCTTACACAATTCACAGAATTTTGAATAATTTTTTTTAAAACTGAGATCATATTGCATTCACTTTTTTGGCTAGATAAGCTTATGTTCAGACAACTTTATTTGCATGTTGCACAAGAAAGCATGGTTTTGAAAATTCTTGAGACTGCGGTGACGTGCTGACAAGGGGAGGATACCAACGCTAGTTGGCATTTTAAGATGAGACGTATATCGTTAGATGCGCCTTTGAACGCTGATTCCAAATCTGCTTTCTTTTTTGCGGAATAGGTTTCTGTAAGAAGTTATGAACGTTTGAATGTCCAGATTTGCCAAGCATTGAGTGGCTTGAAATCAGCGAAAAGCTCTAAAACAACACCCTATGCAATTTCCATAGGCATTGTTCCTTTGTAAACAATATACTCGGTACAAAATTTCCGGTGTTTTTGTATAGCTTTTCGCCAATTGTGGGCCACCTAAACCTTGACAAATTTGGACATTTGAGCGCCACAACGTTTTTCGGAAACTTGTTCCGCAAAAGGGGAAAGCAGTTTTGGAATCAGCGTTCAAAGACGCGTCTACTGATATACATCTCATCTTCAATCGCCCACGAATGTTGGTATCCTTCCTTTGTGAGATCTATAGCTGTTGTCGCCGTCCTATGACACAGAACTTCTACTGAAGGGGCTAATCGCCAACTGTTTCGTTTGCCAGTACTACGCCACAAGTTATCAAACGCTTCATCGCTTCAAGACCTAGCCATCTGTTTTAGCGCTCTGTTAATATGAGCACTTTGAGGTCTTTGTTTCTGCGCATGTGACCTGAATTTGGTATATAATCAGGGTCAAGCAAGGGGTGTGGCCCACGATCACTGATTACCCCCCCCCCCCCTGATTGCTGTCTCAATAAGACCCCCCTGAATTATATACCTAAGTTAGCATTACCTGAAGGTCCTGTCAAACATAATGGGCAACATATCCATAATGAGCATGTCTAACCATTGTAGACAAAGTTTGAGCGTATTTTAAAGATTCAAGATACTAGGCTACCTAAGTGAAATGGTCATTTTCCAACGTTAACTTTGTTTCAAAGGTGAATTAGCTATCCGTTTTTGCACTCAAGACAAAAGCACTATTCCTTCTTTGTCCATCTCAGAAATCCCGCTACAAAAGACCTTCAAACTGTGGAATTAGAAGCCAACCAAAATCTCATTTCTCCCATTTTTCGCTTTTGATGACTGTGCTTTCACCAAATATTACTCAGAGCTAAGAAGCCGAATCAGGCTGAAAACATTCACATGGAATCTACTAGGCTTAGGCTATAAATTCATATAAATATTGTTCGCTAAAAATGTTTTTTTATATAGTTAATGGGGTGTGACACACCCCCTTAAAAGCTGTGGCAGCCACGGCTTTTAAGGGGGTGTGCCACACCCCATTAACTATATCATAAAAACATTTTTAGCAAACCATATTTATATGGATTGATAGTCTAGATCTCCTAGTTTTCACAGGAGTGATTTGAGCCTGATTCGTTTCCTTAGCTCTGAGTAATAATTGGTAAAACACAGCCATTAAAAGCGAAAAATGGGAAAAGAGATGGCTTCTGATTCCACAGTTTGGAGGTCTTTTGAAGCGGAAATTTTGAGACGGACAAAAAGGTAATAGTGTTTTTGTCTTGCGTGCAGGAACGGATAGCTGATTCACCTTTGAAACAAAGTTAACCATGTTGGAAAATGACCATTTCACTTAGGTAGCGTAGTATCTTGAATCTTCAGAATTCGCTCAAACTTTGTCTACAGGGGTTAATTGACATGCTAATTATGGATATGATACGAATATCATGTTATCACTATTATCAGATTACCCAACTACGACCCCCTCCCCTTTTGACTCCCCAATACGACCCCCCAGGTGTGGCATGCAACACCCCACGCTTGACCCTGTATATAATCATTGCAAATGATGCATCGCTACTCTTTCGTGCTGTTTTACCTCTGGAATTAGTTGTGACAATTTCAAGAGAGTGCCGTTTTTCCAGTGTCATTTGACAAATTTGTCATTTGGGAAGCGACGTTTTGGTTGTTGGTAACAACTTACCACCACATTTGTAGATAATCAGGGGAATGGTTGGCACAGGGGAAAAGGACGAAAACCGGCTCAATGGCAGGATCTCTGACATCCTGTAGCTGTCCTACTGTATTTGCCGATGAGCTTGCTTTGTTGTGTCAAAAGATTGAATGGGATCTAGACTGCCTTTATGGTTGATTAGATGGAAAGTTAACCAGTAGAAAAACAAAAAGATTGTTGGAACGGTTGAATTATGTGATTGGCGGCTAAATTAGAGCCTAAATTGGCTCACACACAAAATTCACAGATTTATTACAGGATGTTTCATGTGGGCGCTATTCAGAAAGTATCCTTTGATTCCAATTTACAGACTTGAATCGAATCATCCCAATATCTTTTGAGAGCCGGTTCGTTTTCGCTTTCTTTTACTTTGCTGAGAGATTTTTGTTAAGTCATCCATGTTTTGATTTTCAATATTTTTCGTATGTTCTTATGTTCACATAGAAACTGCAGGACGCATTGTAATCGTTTCGGTGAGCCATAAAGCTTCGAGGAGAAGAATGTTGCAGCCGCAGAAACCGCCAATTTCTGAAAAGCTTTCCATCGCTTGCAGCTTTTCCTTTTTACAATTACTGTAGGGTCGAACCGTAGGAGACCACTGTCTGATCCAGATCAGGCCAAAATTGGCATGATGAACAACCTCACGTTCCTGCATTAAGTTTCGAAGAAAAACCAGAAAAGCACCGGAACCGAGTCCCCGATCTCATCATCCCATCACTGCCAAATACATCCACAAAGACTTGCAAACTACAATTTCTCTTACATTCGATACCAAATGCGTAATAACTAAACGACTGAATTTCTACTAGCTATCAAAATTAACCTTTGCTTTAACTGGCTTGGCTTCGGGAAGGCGGGACTTTGTGACTTAAATATGGCCGCTCGCACGACGCACCTGCGTCTCTCTCGCGTGGGTGCTCTACACTCATTACCTAGCCTTAATTAGGTCAAGAGGCCCCGCCTTCCCAAAGAAAAGCCAGTTATTCGATGGTATGTACCATTTGATTCAACTGGCCTGGCTTCGGGAAGGCGGGGTTTCGTGACCTAGCTAAGGCTATGTAATGATTGTGGAGCACTCGCGCGAGAGAGACGCAGGTGCGTCGCGGGCGCGAGCGGCCTCATTTAGGCCACAAAGCCCCGCCTCGCTGAAGCCGAGCTAGTTGAATCAAAGGTTAACAGCAAATGCTTTTACCGCATTAAATCTTCCCAAACTCGAAGTTAACCATTGGTGCTGTACAACGTTCTCTTTACCGCGATCCATCGTATTCTATAGTACTTTCGTTATCTACACCACTTTTTTGCTTTAGGTATCTGCAAGTATGCTGAGGTAGGTTGCTTGGTCTTCGTCTGCTCACATCTGAAGTCCTCTTTAGCTGCTGCCATTCTCTTAGGTTCACTTGTCCAGCTAAACGCTAGCCCTGATTGAAGCAAAAGTGGCGTAGAGTAGGTGAAAAACAGGAAACCTTCCCTAGCAATATGAAAGACTTGTAACCCGCCTTTCTTGCAGGATTTTGAACTATCTCACTATTGAAATCCGCTTCGGATATGACGCTTTGCCATCATTCTCCTGATAGCGAAAGAAAAGCATGCCTCATTGTTTTAAACTTGTAAGAAATGGAGTTTCTG